AAGCCAGGGGTGAGACCTGGACAAGTCCGGGTCTTATCTCTCACGCACCGAAAGGCTGCATTCCATTACAAGCCGTCCAAAACGGTTGCATTCTTTTCAAAACTAGAACGGTTGCAATCTACCCAAAACCGTTCTAGAACGTACTAAAAGGTTTGAGTACATTTCTTTCGGGATCGTTCTCTACAGTTGTGAAGAAGAGTAGAGCCTAACAAAACTTTTATTGAGAATAGAGATGTCCGGATCACAAGAACGAAATAAACATCATTAAGATACAAGCTTACTTCCAAGAACGCAGAGGATGATCAGCTTATTCACGAGAAACATCATAAGCCAAGAAAGCATTGGAAGAAAAATATTATCATGCAAATTAACACCCTATGACTACAAGCTTATGATATATCAAGAGGTTTCTGGATCACCCTTAATGAAAAAATCATGAAATACAAGACGAATCTTTTCATATGGTAGTAAAAGTCAGCTACCTGCTTACAGACAACGGATATAATGTCTGTTCGGGGCAGACCACATTGAAACACATCATTCTTCAATTACTTAATAGACATTTTGATTGAATTCACAACAAAATTTTGATATGAGATTATGTAAGGAGCGAAAGAAAAATAGTTTGCACCTATATGCAGCCAAGTTACGACGTTTTAGGGGAAGAGAACGACGGAGTAATATTTTTTTCAATCAAAAATTATTTCCACGTGACGTGTTATTGCCCAGATCTATGAGCTATGGATGGCCTGAATCACGTCAGTTGCGGATGTAAGCTGGTGAGCTCCACTTTTCTCTCTCCGAAGGTGTCCGGAGAGGGGCTAAAGCACATCGGCACACAACCCAAAGTCCAGGTCCTTTCTCTCAAGCACAGTAAGGTAGATATCTATCCTAAACCATACGGAACGGTTGCCCCCCCCCCCCCCTTACCGTGCAGAACGTAACACTGCTCAAGACAATGAAGTTCTTTACCACTATCCTCTCCAGATGCCTTTCTGAGACTAATTTCCAGCCAAGCGCGTCATTTGGTCGTTTGAGCTCCATTCCTCTCTCCGGATGCTCTCCTAAGAGAGGGACAAGCTTATAGACACGCAAGCAAAAGTAAGAAAAGGGATAAGAACGCCACCCGTTTGAAATGAAATTAGAGGTTACATTCCATTACAAGAGAGGAGATGGCTTATAGCGCGCAAACCAGGGTAAGGAATTGGATGAGAACGACTCCTTTCTGAAAGGCACTAAAAGATAGCTTCCTATATGCATTCCACCCCTTACAGTTAAAAGACAAGTTGAGAGAATTTTCTTTAAAAATTCTAATCATGTATGATTCATAATCGAACGATCGGACCCAAGCACACCTTCACATGTAAATTTTGTAGAACACGTGTAGAACGAAGTCTGCTCGTCTATATCAAACTTATCAATCAGAAGATAAATAGATAACACATTCGCCATAGTTGAGATTCAGAATCAAGTTAGGCTCATCCGAGGAGGGTCTAAAATACTACAGCCTATATAGATACAAAATTGTCGCATTCTAGTCAGATAATCCAGAAAAAAAGCAGTAAAGTGAGATAAAGTTCGTGTTTGAATAATAATATCATCAATAAAACTTGTTAAAAGAAAATGAGTAAACAAAAACAATTAATTAAACATGGTAATCATAGATGCGAAAAAACAGAAGATTTCTAAAAAACAAGGAATGTTGTTCAGGTAAGCAATAGTTCATAGTTTCGCAATAGAGCGCGTATTGTAGCTATTACAACAAGATCTTTATAGAGAAATGGGGGGGAGTTTCTGTTTACGGTTATTTAACTAAACTAACTCTAGCTAGATGTCTAAATCACATACAAACGCGCTATTCTCGGAAGATTCAGCTGGTCATCGGAGACACTGATTTGCATGAGGAAGATCCAGGAGCTCCTCATCATTCATGTTAAATAATTAATGTGTTCGAGAGGAGGAGGGGGTGAAAATAATGGAGAACGTTGTTTTTGATGAAAGTCATGCCATTTGCCTGTCAATTTATTCCCAAAGGAGTTTTATGTAAGACATGAAGCTATTCTGCCTCATCCTGTCAATTGGTTTCCATCCATTGAGAATGAGCTGTAAGCTGGCTATTATTCTAGTTTTTCGTTACTCTGTCCTTCTTTCTCTATCCTCACCAATATCTTTTCTTTTATCTTTGTTTTTTTTTATCATACATCTTCTAAATTCAATTTCTATAAAATTTCTAGACGTCGTTACGAAAATGCGAGAAAAATATGAATAATATGGAAATCAAATGAAATACTATTTCTTCTCTTCTTGCTGCTCCTGAATCAATAAAACAAAATAAACCTCAAATCCTTCAGATCGTTTCGTTGAATGTTCTTATCACTTGTTATATATAATGGTCTATTCATAACAAATGTAATACCGTCGTCTATTCCGATGAAAACGAATGAAAGAAATGAAATGATCGTCTCCATTCCCTCTAATGGAGTACCCTTGCCCGAATGCCCATTTTGTGATCTTCGACGATGTCATCCCTTGCCATTCTGTTATACATTAAAAAATGGTTTGAGAGGTTTGTTTATGATGAAATAATGAACAATTAATATTGACTAAGAGGAAGAATAGTGATTAAGATTGAGAGAGAGAAAAAGACCAGGGCAAATGTCAAAATAAAATCAAACTACATACCAAAGGGCAAACTGTGTCTTTTGAACATGCAAGCCCCGCCTTCCTTGAGCCACAGTAATATGAATTCAGGTAATACCATTGGAGAATATTGTGGAACAAAGTGGCAGTTGGCTTCACTCGTTCGTGATCAGTTGGCAAATCGTATCACGAATGATGCATGTCAACCATCAACAACTGAACCTGAATTGGCATACTGTTGGTGCCAGAACACTACTGTTAGGTAAGTTTCTCTTGACTAATGCAGACCTGATTTGAAAGAGAATGGATTTAAGTGAGACTGTAGAAGATGATCTCCGACGTGTCCGAATATGGCGATACCAATCTCTCAAATGGTCTTCAGAAACAAAACAACAAACATCTTTCAAGCTATTACCAATCACTTCATTATTATTTTCTATTTATACACATCTCTATTGATCACAATCATATTTCTGTGAAATATTTTTTGTTTTTATGGCAATGAAATTTTATAACAAAATTTTCGATTTGATTCTATTTGTCTGCTTTGTTCGTTGAGCAGAACAGTAGAAGGCACAGAGAAATAGAGGGAGAGATAGAGATAGAAGGGAAGAAGCTCACTCAATTCTATCCGAGGCAGCTCTGAAGTTCGCAGAGTTAATTTCTTCCCTAACTATGTGACAACAAATAGCTAATGTCTTAATAAAATCTCAGCTCTATAACATATCCGATCATTTGATTGCCTGAATTTACGATTATATTTGCCATTAACTACCATCTTGCCTTTGTTTGCAAGCAGATAGTATACCATACAATTTCTTTCACCTTACAATTATTGTATTGCTGTCCGAATTGGCATTGGCTTGGATGTAAGTGCGATCATAACCCTGTGTTTGCGCTTCATAGTTTGATATTTTTCATTTTTTGTGTCATTTCTTATTGAATTTACATGTACAACCAAGAAAAGTTTCAATTGGATTTATGTGAACAAAGGACATTGCATATATTGAGTGAAACTACAAAAAACTCTTTTCAGAGAGGGAGAGCATGTCATCGTCTGGGAATCTTCTTTATCCGTTTCAATCTGTTCTCGGACATATGGATTATTTTAATAAAGTAATATGCTTATTTGGTAAATATCATCTTTTAAAGTCAATCAAACTTTAACATCTTCATGCTGCCATCTTGATTTCAGATCATCGCCTTAGGGCTATATGACATAGGAGATGAGGAAAAGGGGTGGGGCACATCTCGTCATTTTCTTCTTTCGCGATTTTTATAACTCTCTATCATTTGGTAGACGTTTAGTCTTGTCTTCTCTAGCTAAATAAGTTCAACTCTATCAAAGCAACTGTTTCGAGAGCACAAGCCTTTATATGGCTCAGCTAATGAGCATCCGGTCGATTGCGTGATCGCAACTGACCTCATCCGTTCTCAACTCTTCGGCATGCTTCTGACGTTGAAGCTCAGCCGCAACTTTTCCCATTGGCCCGTCACATTAGCAGTTCCTTCGAACTCTTCGTCCAAACGTTTTTTCAAATTTTCGAATTCTTGGAAAGAGTCGTCTTGCCTCTCTAACCCTGAGGTCAAGTTATCCTTCCATGCCTTCGGCTTGATTCCCGACGGAATTTATCTTTTTTCTTCTCTTTTCTCATTTCTTTTTTCTTTTACCCACATCATCCAGAAATATTTTGAGAATCTTGATTGGAGGCAGCATATAGTTTCTGAATTCAGATGATGTTGGATAGACTACGAGCTGCAGGGACTCGTTTGGCTTCTGGAGTTCAATGCCGTCGCTGGACATGGATAGTTCTGTTGACCGTCCTTGTCGTTTACGTATTCCTTGGATCAACCTGCTTTTGGGTATTCGAGCATAACCAACACGAGCGATACATTCGTAAATGGTTCATGAACTTGACTGTCAATAGGTTCTTTATTTAGATTGTTCATGTTATTTTATCTGTTTGTTTCAGACGTCATTTTGCTCGTTCAATAAGCTCGCACATCTTCAATGATACCAAAAACTTACTTATCATCATTGATAAGGAACAAACTGAACGAGTTCAGGTTTGCTGTTTCCGTTTGTTAACAAATCTAAAGAGAGAAGTTATGTAAGGTTAGCAGCTAATAGAATTCCAAGTTGAGTTGGAATTCTTTCAATTCTGCGTTATTCACTCCAATCGACCACTATTCTCATATTCCTCATTTTTTGTTGAAATGTATGAAAAGGAATTTGGCATGTTGTGTTGCTGTCTGATTACATTCAAATTTGACATTCTAAGCCTAACCATCTGACCCTTATGAACTCAAATTTCTTGTTATCTATCTCTCTATTTCTTCCGATTTCTTCTTCTCTCTCTCATTTTTCCTCTCTCTGCATCTATCTGTCTATGAAATCAATCTTATAACAACCATGATCTCTTAACCATCCGGTTGCTATTTTAGTCTTTTGACTTGTAATGTATTTTGTGTCGATTGTTCCTCAAGCATTACAGCCACTAATTGAGCTTCAAACAAATCTATTTTTCCATGTTCATCTAGCTTTTCTTCTCGAAGAAACTTGAAACATTCTGGGATTTCCAATTCCGTATAGCTAGCTACGAAACAATAACAACCGTTTTGCACTCTGCAAACATTTGACAATGATAATTAAACTGTTTAGCACGTGACGTTCACGTGAATGACGTGAAATTATTGTTGTATTGTAAAAGTATTGTTTAATTGAAGTCAATCGAGAGTCTGTGTTTATGAACAGAAGGTTTTCAGCAAATACTCGTAGAGTCGTTGAAACGCTATGAAGATCAAGTTCACATGAAAAGCCCTGACCGTACTAAATGGACATTCTTGAGTTCATTTAACTTTGCATATGGACTTCTCCTGACATTAGGACATGGTGCTAAAACTCCTAACACCATCGGTGGACAGGTATTTTCATATTGTCGCTCATGGTGATAGCAAATCCAAACTCAATGTAGATTTTCGCGTTGGCCTACTGCATGTTCGGAATACCGCTCTTTTATGGAACAGCGTGCTACTGCATATATGTTATACTATCACCTTTCTTGGAAGTATGTTGGAGCCTAACTTTCGCACAACAGTAACTGACTTCATTTGCAGAGTACCGTTAGAACAGTAAAACGACGATTGTTCGTTCTGTATATGGTGATACTCATGTATGTATTATGGAATCTGCTACTGGCCTTATTCCTTTACTATCAGGTGAATATTCTATTAATTCTAACTGCTATTGATTATGAATCTAGGTGTTCGATAGCTTCTGGACAGCAGTGTTCACCTCTTTCCTTAGCGGACTGACAATTCAGGTTTTCATTTTATTTCTTGAGCAAACCCCTCTTTACTTTTTGCAAAACATCATTCAGTCCCGATTTTTTATATCAAACTGATGTAAGCTCAGACGAACTGAGCATTGTATAAATATATATGTGAGAATGAGCAGGAGAGATAGAGATAGAGAGGAAGAGAAATAGAGTTCCCATGACGACCATTTGTATTTTCAACTAAACAGGTTATTATGTTTCGAAAAACATGGTGAAGCAGAAGAAGAGTGAACGCCAAAAAACGTTCATCATATCTATTATTACATAAGATATTGGTTTTCAGGTTCCCGAATATAGCCAATTAACCCCATGCTGTCTGTTTGTCCTCCTGATGGCTTGTACCATATCCGCCTTCCTTCTCATTATGGCTGTCATTTTGTTCGTCGCCATACAATTTCGATCTGAACGTTGGTTCTTCAAAGACTGCTCTCTCATTTCATATACTTTTTAGTCTGTTCACCTTCCAAGAAGGTTCCCTTATTAGGTGATGGGCCAATTAATGACCAACAACAGAAGTTTACGGTCATTGTGGATGAAGCTGGCAGCAGCAAATTAGCTGAGGAGTAGCCATTTGTTGCCTTATTGGCTATCTAATTGCTTTTATCTGATAATTTTCTCCTAAAAATTAGGCATTGCTTTGATTTTTGTGCTTTTCATTCTATTTTCTGCTTCCAATCCAGCGGCACTCAATAAAGCTTATTAATATGCTATTGAAGTTGATATTCATGTCTATGAGCCTCTCCTACATCCCACTACTTCCAACATTGTTTATTTAAATAATTCTCTGAAAGTTGAAGATGATGCTCTTTAACGGCTTATCCGTTGCCATACCAACGGTCACATAACTGAAATTTCCATCAAATTCATCTTCTTCATCGAATAAATCTATGAAAACAACAAAAACTTTATGCGAAGCCATTAGAAGAACTGAGAACAATGATTTTCGATTAAAAAAAAGTTCAAACATTTCCGTAAATGGCTTGTACACACAGCATAGGTGATTCATCGATATATGACGAACCCCGTTTCAATGTTGTTGTTTAGTTAAAATATTAAAAAGAAGAACAGCAAGCGACAGAGACCGTAACACGCTTAATTTAACCTTTCGAAACTTACAAACACCAGAAAAGTATAAAAAGAGTTTGGTAGATGAAAATTAAGAAAACGGTGTGAAATGTGAACATTCGAATGACCACACATGTCCTGTGTCAGAGTTTGTGAGAAAGAAAATTAATTGGCTTTTGCGTTCTCAGACATTCAAACTATGAGATACAAGAAATTCTTTTTTGAACTTTCTCTTCAAAAAGAAAAACGTCTTTTCCAATTAGATTGTGTCATTAGACAAATGTTCACACAATATTATAAATAATAATTATAATTAACAATACAATAGAACAGAGAGAAAATGGAGACGGGCGATACCGAAGTCAACAGCCCTGCAGATCGATTTGGTCTACCAAACTTGAATAAGAAGAAAAGAGGAGGATCGAGTGACGAGAGCTTCCTCATTATTCGGCGGCGATGACAGCTTCAGCTTGGTCGACAGTCTCAACCTAGAAAAGTTCATCAGTACATTAGTATACAATCAGGGTAGATTAAACCGTTTCCACTTTTTTTTCGTCTTTCTACCCTCCCACTCTTCTCTCTCTCCCTCTCTCTTCCTGTTCTCGTCATAACCACTCATACACTTTACTTCTTCTTTTTCTCTATGTCTATATTCAACATATTATTCTCCAACTTCAAACTTGTGCAAAACTTGCCAGAATTGCAAAGCTCGTCAGGAAAGCGCCAATTGTGACGACCGTTGGTCTGTGCAGAATCGATTGTGCTGCGTTCATTTTTCTTTCGGTCCTCCAAATAAATACTTCTCTCTAACATGCTCTCTATCCCTTGCAACTCTCATAAAATTACATCAACTATCTCGAAACCTTTTTCATTTGTCTACATCATTCTCTATTCTTTCCCGCTTATTTAGAAAATAAGTCAAATGAACAGATAAAGGAAGACCACAGTGAATAAAAAACTTCGAATGGTAAAAAATATTCGAACGATCGGCGTCCTTTAAACTCAAACCCGCCTACCACCTTTCATACTCAACCGTTCTCTGCGTCTCGCAAATTGAAGATGAGAGCGTTTTTTTTCTACAGAACTCAGAAGGGTTATTCTCACCTCATCATCATCAGTCTTCTTCTTCTTGCAGACTGGCGACTCATCGTCTCCATCAACGGCCTCATGGGCATCGGAAACACGCTTGCGATCCTAAAAACCAATTTCATGAAAGGCTCAATTATACCTATACGTTGTGATTATGAAAGAACAGAACTCACATTTCCATTGCTATCTTTGATTTCGGCGAAAGCTTCTTCGACTTCAGTCTCGCCGTTCAATGATGCCTTCTCCTCATCACCTTCATCAGCGTCCTCATCACCCTGCTCGGTGTTACCGGTACCAGCGTTAGCTCCGTTTTGTTCAGCTGCTTCTACTTCATATCTTTGGGCAGCTTCTTCATCGGCTCCATCTGATTCAGGGCTCTTCTCCTCAGAACCAGAGACAGACCTGGCAAGAAGTAAATAAAATGAAAGAAAATCATGAGCATTTTGAAGAGGAAGGACAAGCAATTAACTATTAGCAGGAATATGGACACTTTTTTATTCATTTTTCTGACCTCGAAGAAAACGTATGCTAAACGCGAATCATGTTTGCTAGCCCTTTGAAATGAGTCGAGGACAGTATGCGCATACTACCTCTCCTTCCAAAAGTAAAACCCAAGCATGACTATAACATCGATGACGAAAAAGGATTGACGTCCTCCATTCCACCTTCTTCTTCTTATTCTCAATAAATAGACAGCTAACTTCTCAAACGTTACAACAACGCCAATAAAGAACCTCATAAAGAATTAGATAGGATGGTAGGCACACGAATTGACATGAACGAGTTTTCCTCCTGTCCTCCTTTTTTTAGCCTCTTATTTTCATCTCCAAAGTTCTCTTCTTACTACTTTACCTCTATTAGAATTAGGGCAACCACTGCAGAAACTATGCCAGATTTTCGAGAAAATTTTGTTTTTTTTTTGTTTCTTATTCTCTTAAAATTCATGTTGACCCTTCAAGTCGTAGAGGTTACGATCCTTTAAGATACAACCGAGAATGCTTTATTTGGCTAAATGGGACAAATGGGTATGTTAGGATAGCTGTATAAGGGTTGTGAAGAGCGAAATCGGAAATCTTGATAGGCCAGATGGCAAATCTCCCTTAATTTTCTCTCCTTAATCAATGACTGCAGAAGTGAGTAGAAAAGAAACGACCTAATCCAATCTTCATATGAATTCATTTCATTATAAATATAAAAATTGGGAAACTGTTCTTCTGGGTCTCTTGCAGTAACTTCAAAAAACTTATTATTTAGAAACCTTTTTTTGTTGTGAAAATCGCGGTAAGAGCAGCTGATTGACAATGTGCATCTGCTCATGCAATATTTCAAGCTGAACAGTATCCGTAATTTTCTACATCGGTTTCCTAGAATTACACGCTGCCAAACCTTTCATAAACATCCCTTAGAGGAGAGGGGGGAGGGGGAGAGATCGAAGAGGAAGTAAGGATTGAACAAAGAGATTATACGGGATGAGATGTAAGATGTTGGCTAAGAAAGAGAGGAATATCCTATTCTCTGTCACTCAGGTCATTCTCTCATAATTTGGGCTTAATACCATATATGAATTGATATGAGGCCTTTTATAGCACCTGTCATCGACAGAATCAATCAAAACCTTATTTGGCAAGGTGGAAACGAAACACTCAGAGGGTCGAAGGAAGAATAGTCAATGAGTGTGAAAGGCGAGATTAGCCAAACTTCATCACATCCCCTCTTTGCATAATAAAGCACATCGATTTTTCAGATTACTGAGAAACCAATATGAAGGTATATGTTTTGAATAAGATATCTCAGAGACTTACTTGTCTTCAGCTTCATTCGAAACGACTGAGTCACGGCTCTCCTCAGCAGACTCCTCTGGAACTTCAACGATTGGAGCTTCCTCAGCAACTTGAACGTTCTCTGCTTCAGCGGACATGATGATAATGGTGCAAGTCTGCAAATAACACAATAATCTAGGGCATGAGAGCGGGTTTAAACGTAAGAGCTAAGAAACGAAAGAACCGCAAAGGTTAATCAATTGCAATAGGAAGAAATAACGAGGCTACAGTAACATTATGAGTTATAACAACAGAGTATTAGCGAACTACTCAGATCGTGATGAAGAAAAATCATAAAAAGCTCAGATTCATATTTTTCTAGCATGTTACCAAACATGTCCATGTAGGAGTAACAGATGCGTCCTTCCAAACATCGCGCACATGGTCGATGATGTTACTGCCACTGACTGATACAGAAAGAACAAAAATCGACAACAACAACTCAAAATAGAACGTTCGGCGTTGTCTGTGGGTCAGCCTGTCAGTCTGCATGTATGCTGCGTCTTGAAATTCAACTCTCTCACACTCCTCAGCCCAGCCCAGCCCAGCCCAGCCCAGCCCCCCTCTCCCCAAATCTCCACGCCCAACGCTCATCTTCTCTTCTAGCTCCACCCATTTACTTTGAATCCGACAGATGACGCTGAAACCCATATGGAAAATTTTGGAAATGATTGAAGGAAATGAATAGGCGGTTCTCCTATAGAATTCAAAAAGGCAAAGGAAGTAGCGGAATGTTGCGGAATCAGCATGTTTCGCATTTATAAGATAAGATAGAAAAAATACTTAAAAACCCTCTGAGAGCGAGTGAGACGTGTTGGTGGTCATTTCACTCTCTCACTCCCTCTCTTTTTTCCTTTTACTTTCCGCTTTCCCAGAATATTCGGATGTTGAATAGCAAAAAAAAAGATAGAAAATAAGAACCCCAGAAAATGGACAAGAGAGTGGAAGAGTGATGAAAAGAGCAGATGAACCATGAGAGCAAACAGAAATGATCTGCGGACCCTGAAAAGCAAGCCGAAGGGCCCATCAATCAGAAGCACAAGAATTGGTCCGAAGTGGACAGTTGTTGACAGCGGAACGTGTATCCGCAGATGCACAATAAGAACGAAGTCGAGAAAAACTGCAAAAAGGAGGAGTTTAAGAAGAGAAAAAGCACGCGAAATATTAGACGCTTGAAAGAAAGAAAGAGGAAAAGACAGAGAAAGAGTGAGAGAAAGAGCAAAACGCACAACAAATGACGATAGATATGAGAAGAGAATTTCGAAAAGATCTGAAAACAAAGTTTTCAAAACTGTAGGTTTTACAAGGGTACGACGACCTTACGCTGAAAAGGTGAAGAGACAGGAAGTGAATTGTTTGTTTAGAAAAGCCGAGCACAGTAACGAGTGAGGAAGGTTCGCAAGAGAGATAAAAGGAATCAGGAGAGGAAGAGCTTATGAAGTTTTCATCTGCCCCATTTTCCGTTTTTGAGCAAAAAAAAAGAAAACGCAACTCTGAGGGACTGCAAATCTAAAGCGCACATCATACCAAAATTTGTGTAGTGTGAACAAACGGATTGACATAAGCAATGAACGAGTATTAGTCAACAATCTTGATAGGGCGACAGATTGGCAAAGTGAGAATCATGCAAAAGCGAGCAGATAGAAACCATTAAACATCAGAAGATACCGCCATTGCTTGATTAGAAAGCTATAAGAACCAACATATGGGCAAGAAAACGTGTAATATTCAACTTGTTCTGTAGAACTCCTCCATTCAAAATTACAGAACTGGGAAAATGTAATTATGCAAAAAATTGGGAGTGGCAGAATTGAGGGCGAAGCTAGAACGAATCAGTAATTAGAACTATTTACAGAGAATGTTGTGGACATCAGAATGTGTTGGATAAAAACTGGCCACTCTTCGAAACAACCGCGGCAGCTGTGTTCGAATTTCGAATGAAGCCGCGTCGCTTCATCGCACACGACGCCGCATGCGGAGACGCCTTCGATGTCGCAAATGAGGCTGGTACGGCCGTCTTTCGGCGCTGGACCGGAGCCAGGCCGCTAGATCGAGTGCCCGAGGCCCTCCCCCTGGGCCTTAGCACAAGCACCGCCTAGCACCACTGGATGAATGCCAAGTCCCGCCTTCTGAATGGGCAGGCATTAATGAAAGACAGTGGGGGAAAGAAGAGAGGAGATATAGTCGAGGTATAGAAGTAACGAGAGGAGAGAAGACGTGAAAAGAGGAGATAGTCGTCGTCATAAATGAAGACATCGGGCGGAAATGGAACAGAGACATAGAGAAGGCTGGAGCGAGAAGGTTATTTTGCGAATGTGAGAAACGAATGAGACAAAGAGCGAAGAGTATGAGACTGAAAATGCAAAGCCGAAAAGGAAACGAGTGAGATGCGGAAAAAGGGACGTAGAAAAGGCAATTGAGTTAAAAATCCTTGCTACCGGCAGAAGCATGTGTTAGAGCTGAATCGATGTATTTGCGATTGAACGGGTGATACCTGTCGATCTTTGTCCTTTTGCGTAGATGTTGCCTAAACGGAACAACTGTTCTTGAATGAACAATCTTGCAAATGAGGCTCAGTTTACTGAAATTTTATGGGATGCTAATACTATCCACAAAGAGAATAGTCGAATACTTGTATTTGACTTTCCTGCACTTCAGGAGCCAGCTATAAGATTGGCATTCTTTGATACTTGTGATGTAAATGTAGTTGTAGCTGTTGTTGTTGTTGTGGTGGAGGTGATTGTGGTGGTAGGTCTGGAGACGTTGCTCGAACACGGTACGAACGGGAGTAAGGCTTTAAAGATAACATTAAACATGATACAATTTTATATAAGTTATGTTTGCATAAGAAGTCACGAAACTAGTAGGAGATCGGCCTACAACATTATTAAAAACACAACATGTCACAACACATTGAAATAATAAACAAATAACATAGTCAACCAATTAGGAAGGTAATAGTCTTAGACCGGGGAATCGTTTTATTTACCAACTTCATGGGGTAAAGTTAATGTATTCGGTTTACCAGATCAAAAGCTTGGGTAGCACTCGCCATTTGGCAACTTATCGCCCCAATTCTCAACAAAACTTCAACAAAACGAATGAAAACAACTTTCTGCGTAACCCCCACTTTTTTATTCTGCTTCAGCACTTACGTTAGGTGAGCCACTGCGGCTTCTATCCGATTTCTTTCCACGGGATCTGCTACGTGAACGAGAGGCTGAACGGTCACGGCTCCGAGAACGAGATGCTTTACGAGGAGAACCACTGCGGCTACGAGATCTTTTTTTTTTATCCTAAATGAGTATGTAACTTGATATAATTTGAACGCAATCAACCTTGGACTTTCTGGCAGGTGAACGACTTCCACTCTCGCGATCGGCACTACCGCTACGACTTTTCCTAACTGGGGAACGGCTTACACTTTTACTAGCACTTCTGCTGCGGGAATCATGTTTGTTCTTTAAAGCGAAAAAGTCTATGATACAAGCTTCGAAAACCCTACAACTTTCTTCTGAGGTGAACCACTTCCGCTTCTTCTTTCAGCACTTCTATCACGAACATCCTTCTGAGAATATACTATGATGAAAGAAATGGTTTGGAAAGCTAACCTTCACTTTTCTAGATGGAGAACCACTGGGGCTCCGACTTCTCGAACGACTGTCTTCATGTTTATTTTTTGACACAGATCCACTTCTGGAACGTGAACGTCTGAAAGACTTCCGATAACACGATCAATATGTTATAAAAACCTTCTAGAAGGAGAATCACTAGGGCTACGACGAGTACGGCGCCTTTCCTGACTGCGAGACCTCGAACGTCTACGTGGAGATCTGAACCAGAACAGAATTTCATACAACTGATGCGTGTTTTTACCTGCTTCTACGCTTACGATCTCTACTCCTGGATCTGGATCGGGAACGTCTTCTATCTCTTCGATCATTGGAGCGTGATCTCTTGGAATATCGGAAAGTATCACTACCTCTAGGTTTTCCACGAGCCATTTCAACAATACATCGGAGAGTACTAAGAAAGCAACAATAAAACAGACAAAAAAAAAAGAAACTAACGAATCTCCCATCATGGATTTCCCATTGAGATCATGGCAAGCATCCTCAGCATCTCGTTCATCATCGAACTCTACAAAAGCAAATCCGTACTTGATGGCGATGTCTCGAATTTTTCCGTAGCCATCAAAAAACCTGTGCGAAAAAACTTTTAAGATATGATAAAACTGCAACCTTACCGCTCAATGTCTCTTTCACGAGCGTGATAAGGGATACGCCCCAAGTAAACTCTTACCATTTTGTAAGTGGTTTTGGGTTAAGCTACCTGAAATCAATGAAGCTCAAAAAGACGCCAGTATTGACATTGGAGCAAGAAAGCTAACATACTAATCACTAGGTAACCATAATACAAAATAAAAAAAAGAATTTGATTTTCTAAACATCTTCGGAATATCTAATAAATTTTAATATAATTTCTTTAAATTATGCGCAGCGTTGCTTTTTCGTTTAGCGTTAGAATGTGGCGCCACTGATGACGTCATTTGCACCGTAGTGTCCCTGATTCAGGGATTCAAATACGAAATTGGACCACGGCCAATATTCTGAACGCAATGCATAAAGCGTGTTTTTTCAATTGTTTATATGTTTATATTTTTTTCTTGAACTCTTCAGTATCTTAAATATATTAGAAGCATTCCAATTATTTTGAATAGTTTTCTTCCTAATATGTTGTTGGCAAGCTTTCATATGTATCGCGCAGCGATGACAAATGTGCTCCAATTCCAAGACGCTCAAGCATAGCATATCTTTTTCAAATTTCAAAAAAATTGTACAATGTGTTCCGTACGGAGTGGTTGCATTCTTTACTTTTTTTTTATCTATTTTGTGTCGTTTATCTTTTTCGCTTCCAGAATGAAGTTGGTCCGTTTCCTGATGAAACTGTCTCATGAGACTGTTACGATCGAACTGAAAAATGGTACTTTGGTAGTTGGATCTATTCTTGGCGTGGATGTTGCAATGAACACTCACTTAAGATCTGTTAAAATGTCTTTAAAAGGAAAAGACCCTGTTCAACTTGATGCCCTTTCTATTAGAGGTAATGTTGTACAGAACATCCTATAATAATATTAGTGATTCTAGGAAATAATATTAGATACATCATCCTTCCTGATGCTTTACCACTTGATACATTACTTGTCGACGACGAGCCACGAAAGAAAGCTAGAGCTGCTAAAGCTGGTCGTGGTAGAGGAGCTCGAGGAGGACCAAGAGGAAGAGCTCGCGGACGTGGACGTGGAGCTCCTCGAGGAAGAGGCCGCTAAATTGTGTGTCATGCTCGTTATACAATTCTTAATGTTCCACTGATGTTGCAGATTTGGTTTTGTTAGCATCACGAGTCTTGATCAATTGTTGATGTTCGCAGGTTCTCTTTTGTTATATCTGTCCCGATTTATTTATAACGGCTGTTGTTTCGATCTCGTGACTCGATAAAATTTCGTATATATTATTTTATTAAAGTAATTGAGGAAATGTTTGTATGATTCATGAGTTGACAGTAATCAAACTTATAAGCATTCTTCAGAAGTGAGTGTTGCTTCAGAAGTCGACGTTGCTCCATAGCGAACCTGTTCGGTGGGTAAAACTGAATGATTGTTGTTTTTAGAATGGAACATATTGGTCCAACAGATACACTGAATATAAAAATTGTGTTCTCGAAATGGACGAACGGTACCGTATAAGTGGCTATGAAAGAACCAACGAACATTCCAACTAGCACATCACTCCAATGATGCATGTTGTCGTTTATTCTACTTAAACTTATTCCCATACCTATAACTTCAGTTATATTGGATCATAGCAAATGTATACCAGCAGCTACTACTATTGTTTGAATGATTGGTATTATAATACGGTTTCCACATACAGAAAGCAGGCGCGCTTGGAGATATAACTGAACTCAACTGATTATTGATGGATAAAAAGTATTCATAAACCGCTGTCCAGACAGACGCATACATGGATATACTAGAATGGCCACTGAAAAAAGACTTCCGTCCTTCCATTTCTAGTGACGGGTCTCCTGTGCAAGTGTAGTTTGAAATGAAAATATGCCTGAAAAACATTTTTTACTCTGTAAAATAATATGGAAAGTTACTCGGAAGATGTGCATGTGTTATTTCCGGCCTTACAAACATCGAGGAAATGAGGTCGCAAGCGTCCGATAACGATTTTGGCTATGTTAGTTAATGTGATGTTACAAATGAAGCCAATCTGGGAATAGCCTGTCCAAGTGCTAACTCAATTACAACTTCGAGATGAAAATTACCGAAGTATGTCATGAAGCGTACAAACAAAGCATGAATCGTGCTGTTTTTCCATTTGTACTGAGGTTGATCTATTTCATTTTCTACCCGATTCATACGATAAAACTCCACAAACACAATCTGCAATTTAGAGAGAATTTGTGATGGAGTTGTAAAAATGAAATATCACAGCTAGAGCATTGACAAAGATGGCATAACAGATAAGAAAACCACTGGAAACCGTATCTTTCTTGTAAGGATAACGAATGCTGTCATCATCGCAAAAGAATCCTCTTCTGAATATTCCGAATAATGGAGGAACAAATTGAGCAATCGCACCTGAAACAAATTTAATCATAAATTGTTTCAGTCGTAAAACGTCATACCGAATCCATACAGTAGCAAAATGTTAAAAAGAAGAGCTCTTCCGCTAATATTACGAACCTGAGAATTGTCCATCGTTCGAACGATCTAAGATTCACATGCAATTTCAACACTTTTTTTTAAAATGGTTGTCTGTGTGATAAAGCATATGAGTGTTATCAAGCTGAGCTACAAACTACGAACTATTGTTTACTCCAAAGCTTCGACAGTCAAAGATGAACTCTCAAAACTCAAATAAAAGAACCAAATAGTCAAATAGGGATATTTAGTGAAATGAAGAGGGGAATGTGACCGTCGTTTGCAGCATAGTTGCAAGGCTTGCTCATGTTGGCGTAATACTTATATTTTGTAGGAAAATCTTGAAAGCTTTGGAGAGCATCACGCCGTGATAAGAGTTGGAGATGTGCGCCCCATTATGGAACTTGCTGTATCTTATCAGCTACAACTTTGAAAGAGCCAAGGACAGACTTGCAAAAGATAAACACTGCTTTATTTCAACTATGTAATAAATTCGAAAAAAAACCTCGAACGACGACATAGCAGATCGTATCGCTGTGGATACTTTCTTCAGAGTCCTCTCAGATTTGTTGGGCATTGGCTGCAAAAGGTTGAACAACTGCAATATGATTTTCTTACAACAATGTTCAAAAAATGCTCAAAATGTGAGGAAAAAAGACAACTCCTGAATAATCTGTCTGTGCTTATCTGTTCTATCGTTTTCACTTCTGTAGTTCTCCCTCCTGTCTCTCTATCCTCGTCCTGTGTTCGACTGTCAACAAAAATACCTACCGGCTATGAAGTACATGCACGATTATAAACTATACATGGTTATTAATCTCCCATGCAAGGATTACTATCTTTCATTACTTTTAACGGATCACAAGCCTTACAAATTGACGTATGTAGGATGTGAGTGTCATTTGATCTCAATGAACTTCATAATTGAAAACATAAACAGTAAATGTAAAAAGTTTATTTTGTACACATGCAAGGCCCGTATAGTTTCATTATTAAACAATTTATAAGTAAAAATAGAAATTTGGAATTTATGAGGATTAAACTCGGCTTTGGTCTCAACGAGAAAGAACATCTCCACCTGATAAGTCGAATCTGTTTAAATATTTTGAATTGAAACACAAGTCATGACAGGAATTTGGATGATTATCATCATATATGACCGAAAGCAGAATATGTACCATAAACAGGTGATTCACCATAAATGGCATTTTCGTTATTTGGAGCAGGTGGAGGACGCGATGTTGGTCGTTTTGATCTCAACGTTCCTGTAAATGATAAACTTGAGAGAAACTATGATTTTTCGTTCATTTTCACGGCTGACTGACGAAAGAAAAGATTGTAACGGAAAAGTATATACAAACAGTATCTTTGAGAAACACAAATGCAAATAAAAGAAAAAACTAAACAAACCGTAAATATTTCCATAAATGGCATCCGTATGCAATGCTCTCTTAGCATATATGGTTCCATAATCAGCAATTGTCCAATAATATTCAGTTTTCATACGCAAGTAGTATTTACTTAATTTGAAAAGAGAAAACACGAATGGAAGGGCTGAAAGCACAAAAACAGCAGCTGACATCCACAAACCCTTAAATGAGCACAATTTTCAAATTATTAGATAACTATAGAGTTTGAAAATCATAGTATGAGCTATGAGTAGACAAATTTGGAAATGCAAAACATTTAGGGGGCACGCGGAGTTGAACCACGGACCTCTCGATCTGCAGTCGAATGCTCTACCACTGAGCTATACCCCCACACAAATCCCAACATCTAACCAGCAAACATTCCGCTCTCTCCCACTGACCATCTTCAATCGCCGAGAGAACAAAAATGGCGAATAGAATAAGAATGGTCTAGTCACCACTTGGATTGTAGTTCAGCTGAGAACGAATTATACCAAAAAAGACCCAGTTTTTTTTAAAGGAAAACATAATGGGATGTTGAAGGTCTAGACAAAATGCATGAAGACGAATAACAATAACTGATTCTCCGGTATTTAATGAAAAAGAGTATATGAGGACGTAAGTTTCGGAGAGAAGAAAGATGGATAAATTATTGAATATGGAACCTACCAAGATTGGCTCTTGCGATCGGAAACAGTTCTCAGTATTAGCAAGCAATCGATGAGAGTTGCTTGATAGGGTATTAAACGATGTCCCTATCAGTAATCCAAGATGATGCTGGTACTTAAAGTTAGCTTTAAGAGACGTCTGAGGAAACCTTGAATCTACCTGTAGTTGAATATCAGGGCATATGGAGTTGTACACATGATTATATGATAGCACCATAGCTATATAGAGAATGAAGATTGGAAGGGAAAAGAGGAAGAGAACAGCCAGAAGTACAGTAAACTGTCCTATCTTCAAATCAAGGAATGAGGAGTGTTTATATAGCAAACATTACTTTCTCAGATAATCTCGTTCTATCCATAGGATGATAACTTCTGATGTAACATATCGTGCCTGAAGCATTTTCTTTGTCGTTGCACATCATCTGCTTTTACCTATCAGAATCAAGATCAAGCTGCATGGTAAGATGAAAAGGACTAAAATCGACAAAATGGTGAAAGTTATACGATGAATCCAAACAACAGCCGTTGTATTCAAAAAACGAAAAGGATGGAGATTTGGCGATGCGAGCTGTAAGTATTCTAATTATACGCCACGTAATACACGGCCGTCATTTCTTATTTTCGTTTGCGTGGATGCGAAGAGCGGTTGCGTCTCTATTCTTATAACCGAAAGTATGTATTTACCAATTCTGTGATGCTTCTTCTTTCACTTTCATCCAGTGGAGTGTGTGGAAACGTATGAACAGTAGTTGGTCGTCGTGGTTGAGACTGAACGGAGCAAGAGATGTTAAGAAGGCAGCTATGAGAACAAATGCTGACCTTTGTATTCAAAACAGTAATTGTTGGAGAAAGGGTGGATGTGACATCTACACTTTCTTCTCTTTCTTCAGTTTTGTTCCCGAACCTCTCTGTAACGCTGATGTTTGCTTCATATAGTTAAAAGGCAAACCTTCAATCTCTTGAGGTGCCTCGGGTTCAGGATCAGCAGAAACAGTCTCGCTAAGATCATTCTCTGAATTTACAAGAAAGAGCTCTAAAATATATAATACCACTATGTGAGAAAAGGAATCAACTTAACAACCTTGAATCTTAACAGTTGTTGTTTCATCAGTTGTTGATGGTGTCTCTGTACTTTCTGTCATAACTGAGGTTCTTGAAGTGCTGAAGACAAGGAACATTTGAAAAACAAAAAAAAAAAGAATAACCTTGTAACTTCGCTGTCTGTCACATTTGCAGTAGTAGTTGTTGTTGTTGGTAAGGGATTTGAATTTAATTCATCAAGAGTTACGGATGGGTCAGTTGCTAAAAATAGTGATTCAATTTTTTTTGGTGCTCATCCGACTCTTTCTTATCCAACCTCTAGAAGTTACGTCTTCGGTATTGGTTGTTTCCTCGGTTAGTACACTTAGCAGATTCTTGTCTATAGCACCAGTTGATAAATCCACTGACGAGGTCGAAGTTTCGGATTTTAAGTCAGTCACAATCGAAGAGTCTTCTACTGGCCTTGACGTCGACAAAACCTCGTCTGACCTAAATGATGCAAGCGTCGTAACTTCCTCCGATACTCTGCTTTCTGGTAATGAAACAGGCGTAGTCTAGAATGAATAATGTTCAAGGTGGAAGGTGAAAACTAGAGAAACCTCATCGTTGAGAACGTTATCAGAGATGTCGTTTGAAACTGTTACTATCTCTTGAACGTTCGAAGTAGTGAAATTCCGATTCTCTTCAGACACGGCTGATGTCACAATATTTGTTGAAATAGAGCTCTGCACTGTTGTTTCCGCTGTTTCCGATATTTTATTATCTTCACTGTTTTCATGCGAGTCTGTGGTGGTTACTGTTGAATCTAGGCTGATCTCTGTTGTTTCTGGCTCATCGTTGTTCATAGAAAGGATTAAGAATTCAGAAGTTGTCACATCTGATGTTACATCTGTTGTTGTTTCTATTAATTCTGCAAGGCTGTTCGGCGTTTGAACTGTTTCTAGTAGAATTTCTCTCGAACGATTATTCTCCGTTTCGAACAAGGTTTCTTCCGTACTAACTGTTGAAGACTCTGCTGAACTTTGTTTGGTATTGACGGAGGACAATGGCGTTGGATCATCTTCTAGAGATGTTCTAGTGATAACTCCTTCGGGGTTCATTTCTGCGGAAACTTCATCTGGTCTGATTGTAGGAGTTCCTAAAGAGAACATGGGTCTTTTCATGGATGAACTTATGAGGTTCCGAGCACGCGGAATTCCATCCCCCACAAAAGCACCACTCATGTGTTCTCCTCGCCCTTCCTAAATATAAATAGTTGCTTTTACCTTCCTCCAAGCTCAAACCTCATAATTCGATGTAACCAGCTTTTCACCATCTAGTAACCGCTTGAAGTCAAGTTCGGCTTTTGGACGAGCGGGTATTTCAATTGGTGAAATTACAGTTGAGGCTAACGGAACTCTCTGTATATAAAAGAAGGTCAACTTTTAGAAGAAAAAAACTTCATTGGTTACCGAGGTGAAGTTTATTGGGAATATTGGAAGCTGTTCAACGGCTGGCGGAGAATCTTCGGAACTATCTTGAACACGTGGGAGTCTAATAATGCTTTCGTTAGTTAATCGGGCGAACTGACATGACACTACCTGTGTAGAGGGAAACGTGGACGAACACCTTTCTCAATTTTCTCTGTTACAAATGCGAATGAAGATGTAGTTGTTTCAATCTAAACGTGAAGAATTATTCACTTGCTCGAAATACGCTCTGGATACCTGCTCGAAATCTCCCTGATAATCGGGATTATCAAAAAGATCAAACACACTCTGCTCAACAGGAGAGCGCTTTTGAATCTTGAAACGATGAAAACTTAAACATTAGTTGCGAATTACTTACAGCATTCTGGTGTTCAGAAGATGTGCTCGTTTGAATTACGGAAGGACGTATGTTCCAAAGATGCAATCCACAGTACGCGTAATATGAAGATGCTGTCGCCATCAAGAACCAGCTGCATAGAAATACGACAAGATGTGCAGAATAATGTCTGCCGCTAGTGGGATGAGGCTGAAAACGAGGTGAAAGTAGAAGTGAATGATGAAACGATTTACCTGATAACGTTTAGCTCCGCATTTACCTAGAGCTCTACATCCAATAAAAATAATTGAAAACAACAAAATCATAAAAGAAACGAGGGTTAACGACAGGATAATCACAGCTAATACTGGTTGCACCATTAGATGTTCTTGAAAAAGGTCGACGTCTAACAAGGTTTCCTGAAGTTGAATGAGGTTAAAAGAGCCATTCAAGGATTTTTCGGTTTGAACTCAGGCAATTAAGGGAGTAGATTTGTTTTAAATTACTGTTGAATAAAAACCTTGTGGTCATAGTTTTGTAATATCTTGGTCTTCGTCTCATCGTCATATGCATAGGTGATGAAGTCAATCAATCGATGATCCATTCTATCTCCTTATCATCCCCCTACTTTGCTGTTGAAACTGAAAAATAGAATAAGGAGTGAAGAGAACTGTATTATACTGTGAATGTAAAGATATTGGTGAGGAAAAGGACATGAGGAAAATAGCTTTCTAAGCCTATGTGAATGACACTCAAAAGAACTTTTCGGATGAAAAAGAGAAAGAGCTGAGGATCTAACAATTCCTGTAAGTTAGCATAGCTTTTATAGATAGTTATTTCGACTATAAATAGGCAACGAAAAATAATTTGTGCACGATAATTGTTGGTATTCGGGGTGGGGCTAACAGAAAATGAGAATATCGTAGATGCAATTGGAACGTCGCCAAATACATTGAACTTGAAGATGAATTCTCCTTTTCTAAACAAAAAAATAATTGGATGTTCAAGAATATAATGAGGATGTTTTCAAAAACATACACAATACAACGATACAACTACAATGATAAATTAATTGACAGCATAATCTATATAGTTAAGCCAGTCATCTTCCTCTCTCTCTCTCTCTCATACATATGTACGCATATTTCTTCTTTCGCAGGTAAAATTAAAATAAGGTCAACTTCATAATCATCAATAAGTTGATTAGTGAGAAGAAGGACAAGACTTTCAATAACTCTTTAATGAAAAGATTGGCTTGAGTACTATTGCTATACATACGAATTGACACATTTTTTCTTTTCCGTATGATAGATTTCAGTTTTCATTCCCAACTTGCTACGTTTCAAAGAAATATGTGAAACAGCTTGTGAGTGATCAGCACAGGAAAAAAAAAAAAAGAAAGAACATCAACCGGTCTGCCGTCATGCACCAAGTCAAATGAGAAATTGGAATACCACACGTGAGTCACGTGAGAAATAGTTGGTGGGAACGTATGAAACGGAATTAATTCAAATGAGAATTAATTTTTCGTTCGTTTTGCTAAAAGGAAGTAAATTGATGAGTAAATATTAAGATGATTCACTGACGAGGAGAAGTCAACACGACAATCGTTTTGTTCTTCTTGCTGAGACGAGAAGAACAAAAAAGAAAAAAAAAAGGGTTCGAATTTAAAAAATCTTTTTTTTTTCTTCAAAAAGGTCAATCAACATCTGATGTGTTATAGCACCTAATCTACTAGCAGGCGACATGCATGGCCAAATTCGGTCAGGGCGGTAAAAAAACTCGATGGATACCGTGCCTTCTACATGTGAATCTGTTTAAAGGAAGATTGGACGAAAAATGGCTGATGATGTTAGCGGATAAGAATAAGAGATGAGAGGAGAGAGAGAAGGCGAACACCTATTGTATATATGATTACCATGCTCTTAATTACTTCTTTACCTGACGTCTGATCATCCAACATTTTTTTTCAATTAAGGTCAAATGAAAGAGAAATCTTTTCAAAACAAAAAAAGCGATAAGCGATTAGGAATGTTTCTTTTATTTCCGATTTTTTTAAGAAATGTGGACAAAAAAATGTGTTATAAATGAGATATAGAGAGAGAGAGAGAGAGAGAGAGAGAGAGAGAGAGAGAGAGAGTGTGAAGGGATCAAGAGGGAAAATAAACATGATGGGCGGGAAACAGGCTCAGTTGAGGTTGGAAGGGTAAGAGCTCACAACCGTCAATCATCTTTTAATTTTGGACAGCATCACTAAAGTATACAATCTCTTTATAACTTATCCGTTTGAGGGCTGAGGATGTAATTCGAAGATAAGGGTGAGAACGAAAAGTGTTTTGCCTATTGGTCAATCAACAGATGAATGCATAGATTTTCAAATGTCGTCGTTCATCTTCAATGTTCCATTACATAGGAAAAAATAATTTTTGTCATGTCTTTTTTCAAATGAAAACATTAAGAAATGGAAGAGAAAACATTAAAATAGATGGAGGCATTGGATGATTAAACGAAGTAAATCAATGATCGGAAGTCGTTTTTCGACTATACGAATGTTCTCAAAAAAGACATTTCCATTACTCATGCTCTTTTATGGTCAAAGAGGAAGAAAGAGAGAGGGAGAATGGAGAAAGAGAGAAGGAAAGAAGGGAAAAAAAGCTTGGAACTCTTATTATCAATGTTTTGGTATCGATGGATAAGTTTGCAAAGCGGAGTTGTCCAATGTAATCTACTTAAACTGAAAAAAGGAAATTAATATAAATTTTCGAATGTGTGAATGAAAATTGAGAGTGAAAAATAAAAGAAACAAATGAGGAGAGAAAGATCTGAACTAGCTTATGCCCTGAGGGCTTATGAGTCAATTGATATTCTTGTGTGTGAGTGAGAAGAATCGTACGGAATGTAAATATCTCCAGATGTGAGACTGTCGATCGTAATAGAAAGATTCCAAAAAGATGATATTGAGGTAGTTTTATGTATTCGAATCCACTTCACTTCTCTTACTGAATGCCGGATTTGCAAGAGCCGACACCTCAGTTATCCTGCTTCTCTTAGATTGTTTTCCACTTAATTAAAATGATTGCAATCGTTGGATATACTGCTGACCGGCCAGCTTATAACCAAAAGCCTCTTAGCTCTCTATCCGAGAGCCTTTCTTCTCAATTTGTATGGAATAAATGCCGTTTTTTCTGACAACCATTCGATAATCCTTTTATCTATATCAGTGGTATTGTAGTCTCCACGAAAAATCAGGAAAACAATTGGAAATCGGAAAAACCTATTGAAGCTTCGATACTTACAATCTCGCCGTCCCAACATGTCTCTTTCGATCTCTTATCAACACTTCGTTTCCCTTCTGCTAAAATATCACAAAGAATCTGAACAGCACACACAGACACACACGAAAGGAAGTGTAAGTAATCTGGAAGAACTGATTTAAGCAACCGTTCTGTAGAGTCGTACATGAGAAATGAAAATCCAAACTTACCAAATGAGCAACGCATAGCTCGTGAGTTACGCCAAAGTTCATATTTATGACAAACAAAACTAAATCCAAAGTAGGTAATGGAATAGGCGGGAAAAAAAAATCAAAAATCAAATAGAAAAGCGTAATGAAAGCTGAAGCTCCATGACTTGTTATTTTAGGAGAATTTTTCTAATTTAATGATTGTTCATAGAAATATTTGCTTATCAATCACCTTTTAATGAAGTTTTTTCGATGACAACCGTTTCCAGCTTGAAATTCAACTTTCATATAAACCATGTCATGTATTGTGTTTGAATATCATTACTCTCGCCTTACATGCATTTTCCTTTTCATTTTCCGAAAAACTTATTCGGGAAAACAGTTTGAGATTTAAGAAGGCAAAGTTGCACAAAATGGAAGAATAAGTAAGTTATCATTCAAGAGAGCACGAGAGAGTGTGAGAGAGAGAGGACGGTGGAGAAAGAGAACAAAGGACAGGGAGAAGGAGGGTCTGAGAGGATATTTATAGAATGTAATTAGATGTTTGAAAGCACGTGAATTTTGTTGGCTGCCATTGCCTAAAAGGAGTGAAATTTCCTTTCGTGCTCATATTTTGGATGTTCCATCTCATAGTTTGAGGCATTCTTCACTTTTTGCTTTTGAAAATTTTTGTGAAGAGTTTCAAGATTGTAATAATATGACTTGTTGTTTCTCTTTTTTGTTACGGGAAAACACAATTCTAAAAAATCTTACTCAGATATAGAGACAATGGTCAATCGAGAGAGGTCATTTGTTTGAGATTCCAAAGTTTTTAATCAACAACTAAAGCTGAGGCTTGCTTCATCTTCATCATGTTTGAGCCGTAATATGCGTACCGACTGGACGAAGCTTCTCGTGTTCCACCGCATTTTCATGACCAAATCAATTTATGCAATTTCTCATTTCTCTAAGTATTAGACCAAGGGTATTCTGGTGTTTATGGTGTGTCGTTCGTCTTTTTTTCTTTTTCTCTCTCTTCGCTGGGGTTAGTGTTGGGGGGATTGATCGGCCGCCGCGCGTCCAACACGCGCCGCGGTCTCGCCTCTCTCTATTTTTTTCTCTCTTTCTATCTCAGAAAACTCAAATACATCCGTACCATCACGGTTTCCTCGCTTACTTTATTCAAACTTAGGACTTTCTGAGGTGCAGCTTTTTTTTGTTTTTTTCATTGGTTCCCATCCATGAATTCCGCTAACTCAAACAGTTTTGTCAGCTTGTTTGAGGATGTTTTGTCTTGTTCTGAAATAAACATCTGTGAATCTGAGAAGTGTTGATCATCGCTTTTTGATGTTTTCTTCCCAAGGAAGAAGTGGAGCAGAATACTGAAAAGTCCTGAGCAGTTTGTTCGCCATATCCGACATGGGAAAATCGATGGAAACAGTTCCTCATTCAAATTTCTTAGTCACACCCGCTATTATTATATTTTCTCTCTTCTCTCCAAAACAAAAACTTTCAAAACACAAACTCCATCATTCATCTTGAAGCAACATGTTGTCGAATTCTTACGATCCTGAGAAATTCTCATAAGTTTTTGGCTTTTCAGTGACTGTTTCAGGCTAATAAGTTTTGTAATTGCATATAAGACCCATGGTTGCTCTACCGTAATAACTTTTTATTTTTATGCTTATTTTAAGTATCGGAGTTTCGAGGTCGATCTCGAGCGTTTCCCGCTTGAGCTTGAGACTACTTTAGTAATGCAGATTAGCTCGAGTTAGGCTGCAATCAGTACTTTAATCAAACCAGGTTCGAGTTCGTGAACTTCATTTTTTGCCAAATATAGAACTGAGCTACCATATTTCGGCGCCACGCGTGACAATTGGTTTGCTCAGTTGTTTCAGTTTCTTGATTTTTCTTATGTGAAACTACTCGGGAAATCTCAGCTCAACATTTGTTAGTTATAATAGTATCATAAGTGTCATATTCGAGCAGTTTTCCTGTCCAAACATTTTCGAAATTTGAACTGTCTCTCCAGAAACTCGATTTACTAATTATTTGAATGCTGTGCTCTTCTGTTAAAATTATAATTCTTTGTAAGGTTAACGGAATATTCGACTGATGAAAGCCACTTCGCTAATTATTCTGATGTTATACTGTATCCCTCTCTCTATGTTTTACGTGACTATCTACTGGCTTTTGCAATCAAACATCCACTCAGTTCGTCATTTATATTCCACCGCCTTTGTTCATCTGATTTTGACGAATTTTCATAGTTTCGTCGAAAATTTCTTTTGCACATCGCTACTGAGAGCACTAATTTCGAATTTAACTTCCAGATTTTTACTGATAATTGTTCTTCTATCCATTTGTATAGTCTCTCTTCAGTCTCTCTTCGAATGTTTTTCATATGAGCTGCTGTAGTTGTATTTCATAGTGTAAATGTGTACATTTCTCTTTCGGAAATTTCTCTGTTTTTGGTTTTTATTCACTATCGTTCATATTTCCATTCAGGTACTTACACTGAAGACCTTAACGATCAACGCTTCGGGCTATTCGGCCTCTGGTTATAAGGCCCCACCAAAAAATGGTGGGAGCTTGGAGGAGTGCTACACCAACGTTTTTGCTTTAGTTAGTTTCTGAACAATTATCCATAATCATCCCTTTCTGATTTAGACAGAACTCAATGGATTGAAATGGCGGTGTTTCGTGACTCCTACATCTGCTCCGAGAGGAGTTCCTGTCACTAGTGATTTTGTTCTAAAAGCATACGGAAAATGTCTTAAGGTTTCACATCTACGCTAAGTTTGGCTCTTACCTGCTTCTTTGAAGGAAGGCTATCTGTGCACTTGGCGTCGTAAACCTCTTCCTCTCTCTGTGAAAACAGAAACATTGAAGAACCCTTCATTCACAAATGATATTTCAAAGGTTTCATTGAATCGCTAGTTTTATTAAATCTTAATTTTAAGGAGTTATGGTGTTTCTGGTATACTAGTGACCCTCCCGCGAAACTGCTTGAAATTACTGCTCAATTAGGTTTGAAATGTTGAATCGAAGTTAATACCGTTAAATTACAGAGAACGATGATGAAATCGAAATGGGTTCTGCTTCTAATGGCATCCCTTATGAAATCCGTATACTTTTTTTCAAAGCATTGCATGCAATCGTTGAACGAACTCTCCTCGGTGCTGGTTATATAAGATTTGGTAGATGGTTCACCCGACCACTAGTGAGAGATACAAAAGGTTTCGGTTATGAGTTTTTGACACCGAGGTTTGAGAAAAGAGTTTTTGTTTTGATGTGATACTTTCTTTTTCCAGTCATCGGTTTGCTTTTAATCTGCAGTTCTTCGTACATGGTGGAAATATCGTATGCATGACACTCAATTTTCAACGCCAACCTACCCTGTTAGCTCTATCGAAAAGGTATCTTCATAGTTTCATCATGAGATTATTGGTTGCTATGTAACTTGGGTTTCCGTGTTTCAATTGATTTGGAATTAATTCCGAAATGTTGCTTATTGTGCCTTTTGTTTTGTCAGGGGGCTCGATATCGTAATCATTTTTTTTAAAAGCTTGAATTAGAAAAGATATGATATTTCATTCTCTTTTTAAATTCAGCTTGAAGCGGTTGTAGTACGATTCATTTCTAGGAACGACTTACTGCAATGCGGTCGTTCTATTTCTTTCAAGTGATTGAGAGTGAGACGGTTGTGTTGAGTATCCATGAACAAACTTTTTTCTTCTTCGCATCATTGTGTTTCAGACATTTCAGCCAAACTGAAAAAGTTCAAGTTGTTCTCAGTCCGTGGTCGTTACGAGGGTTCCTAGTTCCCACCGGCGATGCAGACTACTCTAAAATTCAAGTAACTTTAAAGGTGGTAAAGTAACTTATTCCTTAATTTCAGGCAAGTACTCAAAGACAATGGAACGAATGGGAAGAATATGTGCCACTCAGAGAAAATAACAAAACAGAGGTGATTCGAGTTTTTTGAAATCATTCTCATAAGATCATTTTCAGGTTAATCCTGTCCCTAAAATGGTTGTGGTTGAAGTGGACGAAGTCAGAATGCTCTATCCTACTTCCCTCATTGGGATTACTTTGAAAGACGATGAAAAGACTTGGTCCGACGAAGTTGACAAAATCAAAGAAGGTTTTTTTTACCTCTGATAGGCAGGGGATAATATTTCAGTTGCAGATGTAGCTGAGATTAAGACTAGGAACCATGTTAATCGTCTCCGAGTGTATCTTGGACTTCAATCAATTATAGAAAAGTCATTTATGCTGCATATGGCAAAAAAGAAAGATCCTTTCCGTAAACCATTCTCTGCACAACCTGTAGATGTGGATGAAAGTTTGAAGTTCGTTCTAATTGATTTTGGTTATTTATGTGTATTTATTCCAGATTCTCTTTCCATGACCCTATCGCTAACTGTTTGGACAAGAAATGTAAATGTTGTAATTTCTTCAATATGCTTACTAAGAAAGAAGAAGAAGGAGATACAGAAAGCCGACCTGCAACGCCTTATTTGGACTTTGGGCCTACTTTCGCTGAGAATCCCGCGTTTCCCGGACAAAAAGTGAGAAAGCCACTAGGGAAGCTAATGAGCAAGGTGTTCAATCGCCGTAAATGGTAATTATAGTACTATGTTGCTTGAAGAACACTTAGTTTTCAGGAAATGTCCAGTTGATTGGAGGGATGACTCTGATAAAGACTCTTCTTCGTCCGAGTCAGCCTTACCCTCGGACTCTGAAACTATGAGCGAGTTAGAGGAGCCACCCATACTTCCAGCCACAAATTCAGAAGAGCCTGATAGATGCGACACTCCGTTCTGGGCACGAACTGATAAGAATACGCTAGTTACTGGAGTAGACTTCGACGACGAAGAAGGCGGCTATTCTTCCGGTCCCTCTGAAGAAGATGTGAGCTTTATTTTTTGTTCTCAACTTGCTATATAAATTCTCGAGTCTTAATCAAATTCAAATCTCTGTTCAGGCCCTTTCTCCAAAAAATGCTAATTGTGACCCAAATGCCAACGATGTGGACCGAAGAATGCAGGGAGAAAAAGCAATCAAATCGAAGTAAATTTTACTTGTTTTTTTTGTTTATCTTACTTCCTTAAAGGAACGCAACAAGCAAGTCAAAAGATCGGGGAAACAGCTCCAGTGACGCTTTTGACTCTATTCGCAATGATTATAACATGATGAAGAAGCAATCAAAAAAGACTATTGCTGCTCCCACGAACAAACAGGTGAGTCCAATTTTTGCGTTAGTTGAGTAATTTTCATTTCAAGAGTTCTGACAAAGGAAAGGATAAGGTGAAAGAGAAGAGTAAGGAGAAAGAGAAGGTCAAAGAAAAGGAGAAGGAGAAAGACAGAAGTAAAGAAAAGGAAAGGGAAAAAATCAAAGAAAAGGAGAGAGAGAAGCTAAAAGAGAAAGAGAAGGAGAAAGAGAAGGAGAAAGAAAAAGAAAAAGAAAAAGAAAAAGAAAAAGAAAAAGAAAAAGAGAAAGAGAAAGAGAAAGAAAAAGAAAAAGAGAAAGAGAAAGAGAAAGAGAAAGAGAAAGAGAAAGAGAAAGAAAAAGAAAAAGTTAAAGAGAAAAAGCCTCGAAGTGCTCCTCCATTGACTCCCCCACCACCTCCTCCTCCTCCTCCGCCTTCTCCTCCTAAGACCAAGACTTACGCTAATGAACCCTTGCTACGTATGGTGCCTGTAATAAGAAAAGCTTTGAAAGAAACAATGGTTAATGTCGTATGTTTTTTTCCATTTGTATTTGCATCATACTGAGAAATATAGGTGAATGATGTTGAGTATGAAGCGATGCAGTTTAGTAACAAGCGATCAAGATATATCTGGCCTGATCTTGAACAATTGGATATGGATTCTATAACAGTGAATGCAGCGGTAGTTCGAATGGTTAAACTTGCGATAACTGAAGTTTTTCAGGAAGATTTTCGCATAAAACCGAAGATGTACGGTGCTCCTTTCATTCCATTTAAAGAAGAAGATGATTCTGAACCAGACGTTTTTGAGTCTGAAGAATCAGACAGTTCTGGTACTGACTCGTATATATTTCCTTTGTAAGGGGGTTGTTTTAGATAATGAGAGAAGAAACATGGGAGAGGGTCGTAGCATGTTAGCCGATATAACAAACAGGAAGTTTACAGATGAACCAATGGAGGTGGATAATGTAGCATATAGTATCCTTTCTCCGCCTGCAAGTAATGAGCAAATGGAGGGATTTTTGGTAAGAACGTTAAGCGTATTACTGTTCATTTGAATTTTAGCCGCCACCTATTATTAAGCTCGGCCCACCCTCTATTGGAGAGTCCCTCAATAAGATATATCCAACACCACCTAGCATGGTTGGCGAAGTGCAGCAACTCAGTCCTATGGATGTGATGCCGTGTCAGGTATACTATTGATCATACAAAATTTGAAAAATGCCTACTTAGAATAACACTGATCAAAATGCACCAAAGACTGAACCGATGGAGACTGATAAAAGTTGTATTGAGAAAACTCTAAAATCATCTAGTGAAACAGAAGACAAAAAGAAAGAAGAGACTACAGTCGGTTTAAGCAATCAGAATGGAATAGCTGCACCTTGTGCCGTTTCGAAGACATGTAGTATTGTCGGAACAGCCGAAACGAACTCGGTAAAATCCTCGGAAGAAGAATCTCATATCAAAGAGAGAAAAAAGCCCAAGAAATTGCGAATGATCAAAAAAGAAGATGACTACTTCCATATCGACCAGAACAGTAAAGTGGTTGGTTTCATTTTATGCTATGTATTACTTTCATGGTTTTAGTTTTCTTTCTACAATAGCACAAAACGAAAACAAATTGCCAATGTTTCTCCACGGACTAAGTTGAATCTGACCGGCCGTTTTATTGTGCAAAAAGTAATCATTTATATTAACAAACGTGATATTTCTTTCGTTAAGAATGAGCGCTTGAGTGCCATTCTCAAAAGGAGGAAGCTGCCGTTGGATTACGAGAAATTGAAGGAGAAAATAAAGTCGGAAAAGAAACCAGAAAAGTCTCGGATTCAATTGTCGATGGAAGCTATATTGCTGGCAATTCATAAACAACAAATACAGCAGTTTCACCAAAATCCAAACAGAACGTACGGGAATACTAATAATTCGATGGTGAGTGTCAGTTTCTGTGTTTATCACTGAAGAAATAGAGAATAATTTTATAACCTGTTTTAAGCCTGAATATGGCCAACGACCAATGCAAAATATGCCTCCTCATCCTGGTATGATGGTGCCAGGATATCCGAATAACCCTATGATGATGAGGCATGGTAATCAAATGATGGGCCGAGGTGTTCCTCCTCAGTATGCTAACCCTGGTCAGTATATGCCACAACAGATGGGTTATGGACAACCACAAATGGGCCCTCCTGGATACTGCAACACTATGTAAGACATTCTTCTTTTTGGTTTGCTCAAATTGAACCCTCGCATAGGCGTTACCCCATGATGAATAATATGGGGCATCAAATAGGAATGCAGCCTATGCCTGGAATGTCCATGGGTCAACCCGGCATGAATATGCCTAATCAAGTAGGGATGCCACATATGGGTCAAATGCAGGCAATGGAACCAGGAGGCATGGGGCCAGGACCCATGATGCCAGCTCCAGGATCAATGAACCATATGAACATGGGACCTATGGGTCACAGCGGACCGGTGAACATTTATGGCGGACCCCCTTCGGGACAGGTATCCAAGGTTTTTGGATCTAAACAAAGATATTTTATTTAGATGGGTGGCATTAACTCTCCGTATAATAGCAACGATGGCATGATGATGCATTCTGCTTATTCGAAGTAATCATTAATTTTAATATTTTTTGAGTTAACTGTTTTAGCAATCCACAAAACTTCGTGCAACCTGGACCATACCCAATGAATCCGAACATACCTCCAACTATGAACTCGAATATACCAAATAATTCTAGCATGAATTCCATGGCTATGAGAGCTGCTCCGCAGCAGGTTTGATTATCATTTTGTGAACAGTTTTTGGAAACGGATTTACAGCAAACTCTGATTGATAATCAGTCCAGCTCAAATGATGATGTTGTCGTGCTTAAAGACACCGCTCCCGCCGAAGGCTCCAGCATAGTATTGGCATTATTGTTCCAGGTGATCTATGAGAAAACGAACCCAGAGTCAGTATGTTTAATTGCAGGATACGCTTTTGGATCTGTTTTACGATACAGTATTTGACTCTTGTCCTGTCTGTTCCTGCAATGCATCAATCAAATCTCGAGAGTTAGGGCTTTACGTCATCCCTCCTGAACTTCTGAAGAGCAGTCCAGAAGTTCAAGCAAATTATTTGAGCAATTGGGGTGGCTTTGTCGGAAACAGTGGCAGTTTGTGTAATTGTGGATTCAGGTAGAGCGAAAAGTATTTTCTCTACACCTCACCGTAATTTAGCGTTGTTCGCCATCGTTACTTATCGCTGAAAGCAGGCTTGTTCTATGAAGATGCTTACGAAGCTACAGGGAACAGAGACGCTGGTTGCAAAGCAAACCCTATGTGGTCGACCAACTATCCAAGAAAGCTATTGTGAGTTCTAAGTTCAGTTGATAACCGTTCAGAATATTATTTAGCTTCAATTCACAAAACTTAAATGATAGAAGGACGCTTAATCTGATTCGAACGATGAGCATGAGCACATTCCTTGGTCGTCAGGCTGAAACTATTATAAGCTTCATGGAGTATACCGAGAAAATGAGAAGAGCTCAGAAACTGAGCTACAGCATTGAGACTGGATCAGATTATTTACTATCCTTGATAGATTGCTCGGAACTTCTATTGATTGGGAATCAAACTCTCGATCTCTCTTTAGGTTTTCTCTATGTTTTTGGAATTATGTCTCATACGTTTATTTACAGTGAACGGTAGCCGCAATAAAACCAAGCCGCCAGCCTTCGGTCGCAAATACATGAGCATTTTCCATCCCTGGGGATTACAAGTATACCGTATTATCATGAAGTTGTGTAAGGATCATTTTTAAGGTTGCGAATGAAGCTGAATGTTTGGGTGAGCTAGAAATATCTGATGTCACACGTCATTTAACACCTCATCTTGAAAAAGCCATGCGGATTGTACGATGCATGGAAAATAACGCCAGCTTCAATATAGTGGAAGGTCCTCTCACTTGGAAAGCATTAACTTCAAAGATCCAGGTAATATAAAGTTATTTTATTTGTAAATTTTGTTGCGCTTCAGAAAATTTCCCCCACAGATGATGACGTTCATGCTCCAGAACCTGTTCCTTTCATACTTCTCGGATGTGATAAAGAGTTGATTCGGGCCTCTCCTCTGATCCTGCCGTTCTGGGACGATTTGAATTTAGCTCCTTATGATCATCCAAAAGATGTTCTTTATCTGACCGTAATGCCTGAAAACAATTTACTGGATTTACCAATTTCAAATTATATGGATGAACTCAGCAAGTATGTGGTCTAGTCTCGTTTGGCCGAATTATTTCGTATATTCAGAACTTACGAAAAGATGAAATTGGGAAGACACATTTCTTGGAATCTGAAAGATGTGAAGGATGGTATTGTTCGAGTTGGCGGTAAACAGTATGGCAAGGGCTTTACCGATGATATGTTCGAGTTCTTAAAACGTGTCGATAACACCGATGAGAAACATCAGAAGAGTATCCAAATGATTGGGGTATAAGGCACTTGATGACTGGCAATTCATTTTTTTTTCAGTTATTCACTCAAGAAATGGAGGAGAAGTTAGTTCAAATTATCAACGAAAACCAGGAGATGTTTGCCCGCTCGACATATAGACAAGCTCTAGCTTTGGATCAGAGAAATAAGAAAGCTGCGATGAATACGATTCAAGCAGAAGCTGAGAAAGTTACGGCGTCTATTCAGGAGATTTATGAGGCTAACCCCAACGCCACGTTAGGACCTTCTTCTGAATCGAAACGTATGCTTGATTAAAAAAAAACTAATTTTCCTTTTTATTTCAGTGATTAGTTGCGATTTTCTTCATGAAATAACTTATCCATCTAACCCCGAAGCATTCGATAATCAATTTTTCCAAAAAGAAAAAACGGAAGAAGAAGGAACGAAAGAAACGGAAAATGGAAACAATGTCACTAATTCTAACGGCTCAGATGAGCTTGCATCAGCCCAAACTGCTATAGAAATCTCCCAACAAACAGCACCGATCCCCCAAGCTACTATTCAACAAATAAAATCAGGAAAAACTTCAACTACCCAAACTGCTTCTACAACCGGGCTTCCTGCTCATCAACAAAATCCGAACATTTCCCAAGGCACACTTACTTCTCAACCAACTAGCGTTCCTAGTGCTCAGGGAACTGTTGCCTCGCAAGCTCAGCAAGCTCCACAAGGGCCATTACAAGAGCTGCTTGACTCCTCTCAACCAGGTTTAATACCCATCACAGTTGCTCCTCGTACAATCTTCAAAGAAGATCCTCCTCTTGAAGCAGAGGATACTCCTGTAGATGACCACGGAACACTCAATCAAGTTGTTGTTATCTATGTTATTAATCCATTCAACTATGGAGATGAAGGAAAAACTTACACATTAGCTCGACTTGGCACATTGGCTATAATGCGTGCGTTTAATGCTGTTCTTGGACGAATTCCTCCAAGCCTTCGTCTCCAACTTCAACTGGAGATCGTCCCCCTCTCTAGATCACTGCATCTCGCTGGCTTATCCGAAGACTTTTATCTGTGCAACGAGATGATTTCCGATTATATTTCTGGTGAGGTGTTTTCTTGGATATTTTTCTCATATCATTTTTCAGTTGATATTCGGGAAGAGCCTAGAGAGTTCACTATTCATGAAGCGGTGAAAGCAGCTTGTTTTTCTGTTTATCGTGCTCCTAGATACTTTACTCCTAAAACTGCGCTTGAAGTTAAAGCTCGTTGTATGACTAAATTTGGTCCAGGAAGTGATTTGCTTGAAATCGTGGCAGATTGGGAGAAGTTGGCAGAACCTGTTGTATATAGTGTTTGTTTTCTTCTCCGGAAGCGATATAATATATATGTTCCGCTTTTAGTTTCCAACTAATTCTCATATTCTGGCTCCTTTACCCTGGCTGCGACAGGAAACTACTAACAATGGGGAATCCAAAGTTGTAATGCAACCTGGGGATGAAGAAATTAATTTGTTTATCACTTACTGTCTTGTCGGAAATGACTATCTATGTGCGGTTATTGGTGATTCTCGTGGAAGGATTCACGATAATTGTGTTATCAACATGCGGCCAGACTCGGACGATCCCAAGTGAGTCTATAAGTCAGTTCAATCGACAATGGAATTTCAATTACAGTGAAGCTATAAGATATAAGGCGAAAACCCAGATTCTGGACGTTATGACGAAGTTATGGAACTTTATTCAAGCAACTATCGCGATGGACACAAAAGCTGTGCGACTGGTTATTGGACGATTGGGCAAAATAGGTCATGGGGAGTTCAAAGGTTCTCATTTCGTTTTCATTTATAGATTATCTTCTTGACTTTTAGCATGGTCTCATATTCTCACTAAAACTACTCTGAGAAAGATGTCAGCAAAAATGAAAGAGACATGTACCGCTTGCTTCGAGACTCCTGGACCTGCTGGTATACCAACCATACTGTCAGCTTGCCTAATTTCGACCGAACCTGAACCGTATCTGCGTTTGCACCCTAAGCTTGTGAACGTTGATGGATTACCGTAATATTTATGAAAAACGATGAAGTTGAAAACTCCGGATTTTCAGGAAAAAGAAAACTTACAATCATACTCCTGGTGACTTTAGCTGTACTCACATACTAGTTTTCCCTGTGAACACTCAAATTGAGTTATCAGGAGGGGAGCAAGCTACGGAAGATGAAAATTATATGGATGCTTGGGACGGTATTGCTGGATTGGATCTGCCACAAGATGATGAGTTTGGTAACATCCAAGACATTGTTGGAGGGTTAGATAACGCTGATACTTCGGGCCAACAGAGCGCATCATTTCGTTCGAATGGCTCTGGACTTTTTTCTTCTGACCTTTGTATGTTTTTTTCTAATGCTTCTCTTTCATATATCTTTTACAGCTGAGCCTCTACAAAATCAACCTCTGGCGATCGGTTACTTGATATCCACTTGTCCGGCTCCAGATCTACCTGAATGGTTCTGGCAGAATAGCCCTAGCTCAAGACGACAGATCCCAATCCATCTAAAGTCGTCTCTCCACATTAATGTTCAATGCAGTGGAACCGATCAGGATCAGGGTGAGGAACTCATTCAACAAAGTAAAACTGTATCCAACGATAACTTGGAAAAAATCCACCCTCTTGATAGCCAAAGAACCGACGAAGTTTTGAGGTAATCGGTGTTGCCTTATGAGCAGTTCAAAGAATGATCTTTCAGACATGTCCTCAAGACTTATAACGCTCTTTCTTGGTTGAACATTGATGTTCGTTACGGAGACAGATATTCTTGTCTGCCAATACATTTCCAAGTTTTACTCAGATTATATCATTCCCTCTTCCGACTTGTTACGTAAATTTTGATCAGATATTGTTCCGATTCCTTTAAATACACCTGTAATTAATTACCAGTGCTGCAAATTTGTTTTTAGCTGATCTCTGCTTGTTCACATTTGTATTTATTTTTCATAAGCTTCATTTATACAACCATCCAATAGCATCTATTGGAGAAATGCTGAACTTTGCATATATTTCTTTTTCACGTTTCAACCTCTTATTTATATTTGTTACATTGTGCTATGCATTCATATCACACCTATTACTAACGAAGGTATCAAACTGACATTTCACGAATAGTTTTGTGAGCACCTTAATTCTATTGTTCATTTGTAATCTTATTTATCGTATTATCCCTGATTTTTTTTAATATTTAGCACCGGGTATCTTGCCATCTGATCTGAGCTTCTCATTCTGTTTGGAGCCACATTTGAGGCACGATAGACAATCACAACCATGGCGTGTAATTCAAATGTATTTCGAAGTTTAAATATATATTGTTTCATAAACTGGTATAATTTACTAAAAATTAGCTAAGAGAAGGTGGACCGGATGGGAAAAAAATTGTTAAGTGTAACAAAAAAAGTGGACGGCAAGACATTTTGTAAAGTTGTTCTGGACGGTTTGGGGTGGATAAGCCATTGAAATTTCTTTTCTTCGAGCTCTTCTACGATGTGTTCTGACATTTAAGCTTGAAATATTATTAATTAATGTAACCCTGCTTGAACACAATGTGTTCGGCTGCTTCACCAAAACTTTGTAAAATCGTTCTTTTTTACAGTTTGTGGTAGAATGCAACAGTTCTGAACGGCTTGGTTCGGAAAGCAACCGTTCAGGACGGTATCGGATGAAATGCAACCGTTCTGGATGATTTGGGACGGAATGCAACCTTTCGGTGCGTTTCAGATAGACCCAGACTAGTTCAGGTATCTTCCTTGGCTTGCGAGCTGATCAGCCTTTTCCTCCTCTCTGGAGGACTTCCAGAGAGAGAGAGGTCGAGCTCGCCGGCTCACACCGCCAACTGACATGAATCTGTCGCTCTACAACTTATATACCCCCGCGGGAACGCTTCACGTGGAAATAATTTTTAAGTGAAAAAAAATGACCCGGTCGTTCTCTTCCGCCTGAACACCCTAAAATGAGTTTTTTTTTAATGAGTGCCGTACGCCATTCCTTGTAGTTAGCTGTTGTAGTCTGAGCTCTTTCTTACTTTCAACCGTTTTCATCGAATTCTCCTATTACCGATAACTAACAGGTTATCGATTGATTTCGTGTCTGAGTCTTTTTGGCGTTTATGTTGTACATTTTGAAAACTCTTTCTTCTTCCTCCGCATTATTAACCTCTTCATCAGCATATCCCTTTTCTCTCGTTTTCTTTTGTATTTATATTCTCTCTATCAAGTTGAGAAAGAGAGGAGATTTTCATTTTTGAATGAAAAAATGAGAGACCCGGTTGTTCCCTTCTGGAAAGGAGCTGAACGACGAATCCCTAATCTCCGAAATTCCCTTTTCGTTTCTTCGGTGAACACTCGCTTTCTTATACTTAGCGATGCCTTCTCACTTGTCGCATTCTTATTTTATAATTTGTTCTGACAGTCAAGCTTGGAGTCTTACGATGTTTCTTGTTATTGTTAGGATGTTGAGCTCCAGTAAGCTTCAAGTCTTACGATGCTTATTTTCCCTTTCATGTTGTTCCTATTGATTGGTTTCTTCTCACTT